GGGTCCTTTTAAATAGTAACGGATCCAAAAATTTAGAGTATGTCAAAATAAAAACTAATTACAAAATAATATTTTTATTCATTAATATTTTTGTTAGAGTTGACCAAACTCTATAAATTATATAATTAGTATTTAAACAAAAAATTGAGGTTGGGCCATGATCCGCCTAAAACAAGACTGGATCCGCCCCTGCTTTTAGAAATAGGTAAGATTTGACTAGATATTTATGTATACTTGAAATTTTTTGTTAGGTAAATTTTAATATGAGGTTTAATAAGATAATATAAAATTAAAATCACCCCTAGGTGATTTGATAGTAAAAGAGCAAAGTGGTTGAACATGAGTTTTTAAGTTCGAGTCATTTCAAACACTAATAGAGGTGTCACTGAAAAGATTTATCCAGTCGTTTATTTCAAGGCACCAAGAGATTAGTTGAGTTTATGCGCAAACTGGACCGAACACTACCAGAAAAAGATAATCCTGCCCTCACTAACAACTATTTGCAAAAATATATAAACAATTTCATTTATTATCCCAAACTAGTTTTTCAAAAGAGCATAAAATATATAATTTTTTTGGATATTAGTTTTGGATAATAATGAGAAGAAGAAGAAAAACTGAAGGGAACTAATTTGTAGCCCCCGCTATTTTTGTCTTTAGCCCCCATCTTTAAATTAAGCAGGAATATAATTGTAATAGAAAAGATCTTCTTATCTTCAATATTTTTAATTCAAAACTTTATATTTACCGTTATTAAATTTAAAGTATATTTAAATCAATAAGAATTAATAATAAAGTATATAAAAAAATCAATTTAAACCAAGTATCACAAAAAAATTGTGATACTAGGTGTTTCGTTTTAACGGAAATGAAACTAGATTTTTCTTTTGTCAATATGAGATGTATAATTAATTACTTAATTGTTTTCAGGTCTACGTATCACAAATTTCCTAAATGAGAATTTGTGATATGGGGTATTTTGTTTTTAATATAATGAAATAAGATTTTTCTTCTGTCAAGATAGATTCAAAATTGATCACTTGATTGAAAGAACTTTCATGTTTCAATTCCGCAAACAAATTAATACATATGATAACGATATTAATTGACTTGGTCACATAATTTATTGTTAATTTAGACTCATTTAAATTTAGTTTTAACTTTTTTGTAGTTATAGATATAAAATTTTGAAGTAAAAAAAAACAAGATGAATAATTTTTTTTATTGCAACTGTATCCCCTTAAACTTAAAGTTGGGGACTAAAGACAAATATTTTTTTTTATAATTATAAATGAGAAATGTTAATGTGATAAAATGAATTTCATTGCATTGACATTCAAAAAATTTGGGTTGGGATTCTTTACTACTTCACATTGAATAATACTATACCAATAATCCTCTCTCACAATTATAATATGACAGTTCGTAATTGATTAACTCGTAACAATTGACTAATTATGAGAAATAAATTCATGATTATGAAAGAAAATTTACGAGAGAGTTAATGTTGTAATATTCCTCCTGTCATTTGACAGCTATCTCACTCGTTTTTTGCCAACTGTTAAACAGCTTATTGCCCAAGATGTGCATAGTTTTGAATCTGTGTACTCCTTTTAGTTCTAATAAAATATTCAATGTGGCCATGTGTGCCATTCCCTGCAATTGGGCAGTCAACTAAATCCTTTTAATTTCCCAGTTTCCAATTTTTGCCTCACTTCAGTTTGATTTTGTCATTATTTTATTTCTGTCTTACACATGACACCATTTTAAACCAACTACTCTTTAAAAAAATCCACAATTATTTTGCATCAATCCATATCATTTCCATCTTGTTTTGTTTCTTACGTATAAAGCTTTAAATTTATGTTAAAAAAATAAAGTAACCGGGGAATTTCTAATAGTTGTCCTGTCCATATGTTAATGGAATAAACACGTTTCTTGAAGTAGGCCACTAGGCCCTGGACAGCTGTGATGATCCGCTTTACTCAGTGACATAAAACTCCTGATAAGACGTTGTTACACACGCTTAAAACAGTCATCTTTGGGGCCAACATCCACCTTATTTCTTCTGCTAATCCTAATTTCCATTTTGATAATTCATGAAACTATTTATTTTATAATTAACATTTAACTTTCCAGGTTGACAAATCTCCAAAAACTTGAACCCAGAAGAAAAATGAACATTATTGCTATAAAGAAAGTGTAAAAAAAGAGTGTTGGTTTGGATGTCACATAGAGAGGTTTTATATTTGATGAATGACTAAACCACCTTTTCCCACGCAAGGTTTGCCTTAATAACCTTTTCCATCCAAAAAGTTTCAAAACATCAATTTACTACCCAAATTTTATATTTTGTTTACTATCCAGAAAACACTTTCCAATTTGAGGACAAACAGAGAACAAACTCGGTCTAGACTAGTGAGACTTTTGAAGAGGGGATGTCAGTGAATCTTTTGATAGTAGTAGATTGGATTTTAGTGGTCAAGATTGATCGAAATCTGATTTGGTAGTGGCAGCTGCGTGTTGCACAAATCGCTCGATTCATGAGGTCGATGGGAGCAACGTTTGAGGGATTTTAGTAAATAATGATCGAAGAATAAAATAGTGGTGATATGGAGTCGTAACAATGTTGGAATCAGTCGTAACGATATTGGTCAGAATATAAAGTTAGGGATAGTAAATTGACATTTTAAAACTTTTTGGGTGGGAAAAGTCATTAAGGCAAACCTTGAGTGGGAAAAAGTTGTTTACTCTTGACGAATTGCAATGTCCCCACACGACTTATTCAGCTTTTGTTGGTAGCAATAAATAATTCGTCCTTAAACTGTTAAACACGGCTATAATATTGTATTGTAGAGATTAGTTTTGTTGATGAAATTCATGAAAATAATTGAAGTCAAGCTTTCCAATTGCCAACCTCAGAAATGGGATTTCATTTCATTTCAACATATCGCATAAACTTTTGCTGCATCAGACACCGACTGCCCAACTCCCACTCAACGCGTTTGCCTTTTGTTTTGTTTTTTTGTAATCTTTTACTTTCTTCTTTTCGCCATTTGAAAGCGATAAGTTTTGCATATAATTTAAAGCCCAATTGAAGTGACAGTCTTGACAGAGACGCTTGCCCTGAAAGTTTATCAAAGTTTCATGGTGCCAACCATCATAGTCTTTAAGCCTTGCTTTTGCAGCTATATCCGAAGATTGGTTCAATTAAATTTTCAAACATATAATATATTTTTTTCTCTCTTTCAGCGTGTGAAACCGTGAAAGATGTAGCTGATATGACTCTGGATTTGTCTTCTTTTCTTATAGATTTTCAATATCTAAATGAATTCGTTCAAATCCATTCATTTAATTTAAACCCATTTCTTCTTTTAGATTAATATATTAAAACCAATTCAGTTGACAAATTCCTCCAAACAAAACACACGTTGATAATCTATTACAAATCCAGTTTAGATAGAAAACTTTGAAGGTGAGAAAATCAAACATATTGAATGTTGAAGAAATTAGATGGATACGTGGTGATAAATTCCTTACACAAAGGTCCTTCAATTGTGCCTGGATTTATGCCCCCATTAAACATTAGGTCAAATCCAATGATCCACTACTAAATTCACATTCACATGGAGTCGGACACTTGACCCAAAACAATAGCTAAAATTCTTAAAAGAAAAGAGTTCACATGTGAATTAAATTATAGTTTTTATCTTCCAATGAAGGTAATAAAACATTGAAACATCCAAAAGAAAAAAAAGTTGGGTGAAGATAGTGAGAATAGACATTGAAATCTTTATAATTATACCAACGTTTTTTACACACATATGAGACCACTTTTAGACGTAACTTAAATATCACGTTTTTTCGCATAAAAACCTTTATATCAAATTAATGAAATTTCAAACTTAGAGTATATTATTTAAAAAATCTTAAATTTAAATTTTTTATCTAATATTAATATGGATAGTTTATTAGATTTTATCGAATTAATTAGGGTGATTATAAAGTGGGGTAGACCCTATGAAAAAAATAAAGCAACATTTGACGCATTGATGGATGATGGACTTCATTCACGTAATAATTCACCAACCATATCCTTCTTTCTATGAATCAGACAACAATTCAATCCATTAATAAATTAAACCCAATTAAGCTCTGTAGTGGAGTTATATATGTGTCTGTTACTTACCACCATTAAAAAAGCAAAAAAGAAAAGAAAAACAACCTTTTCATAAATTTTGATTTATTTACTTGTGTTTGATTTGATCTTCGTTTTAACTTTCACTTCTAGACATATTCATCAAATTTGGTTTTCCAAGACAAATTCCTCTTTTTATAATAAAAAACTTAGCTGGTTTCCTTATTTTCAATCTTGTTCCACTTGCTTTTGACTCTGTTTTCCATTCATTTCCTTGTTTTTTTTTTTTTTTTTTTTTTTTTTTTTTTTTAATCTTGGAATCTGTCAATATCTGGATTCGTCACCAACTCAAACCGCGCTGCCTTGGCTAGATTTGTTCCCACTATTTTTGTTTCAATATTTTCCTTTTATGTAGTTAACGTCCAATACTCCAAAGGGTCCTCGAGTTTGCTGTTTACTTGTGAATTCACAAATCTAAGCCCTCTTTCTCTCTGTTGGAGCTTGAATGATCTTCAAGGTGACATCTTTTCTCTTCTTTATTCGTATCTCTACATGGGTTCTTGATTCCAGTTGTGTTTTAATTAGCAGCAATAAGTTTTTGTATTTTTATTTCTGTATTGCAACCGTAGTTTCGTTTCATTGTAAGCTCTAAGACGACCAAGCTTTTTATTGCTTAATCAATTTCAAGACTTTCTTATGATGGACTGTGTAGAGGTTTCATTTGTTAATCTGGTTGTGTCAGTCTGTGTTTAGCATGTTTTGGTTGTTGTCAATTACTCCCAAAGACAATTACCTCATAGACTGTGGATCACTCACCAATACTACAGTGATGGTCGTGTGTTCATGGCTGATAATTGGCTGAAAATTGCTTTCTTCTCCCAAAGATATTACCGTCAACACTTCAAAACCTGTGACCTCCTCCAATGATTCGTCCCTGTATCAAACAGCTAGAATTTTTACTGGATCCTCGAAGTACACCTTCTCTTTAGCCAAACGGGTAGGCACTGGATTCGGCTTTACTTCAATCCATTTGATTCGGGGAATTTCATTATGAGCAAGCTATTTTTCAAGTTTCCAGCCAAAAGTATGGCCTCCTTAGCAATTTCACTACAAACTCTAAAGTAGTTAAAGAGTTTTCGGTGAATGTAACCACTGATAACCTTGTTATCACTTTCAGTCCATCAAACAATTCATTCGCATTCATAAATGCCATTGAAGTTGTTTCAGTTCCTGACCAGCTCATTACTGATGATGCTATCCTCATTAGCCCACAAGAGAAATTCCAAGGCCTGATGTGGCAGGCGTTGGAGACAGTTTATAGAGTAAACATGGGTGGACCGACAGTTACCCCTCTGAACGATACCCTTGGGCGGACCTGGGTTCCTGATCAAAGTTTCCTTCTTCAAGCAAATGTTGCCAAAGTTATATCTAAGATTTCTGCTGTCAAGTATGTTTCAGGCGGGGCTACTCGTCAAATTGCTCCAGACTCTGTCTATGGTACTGCCACCTGTATGAACTCGGATGATGATCCTGACAGCAATTTCAATGTGACCTGGGAGTTCAATGTGGACCCAGGATTTCAGTACCTTGTTCGGTTTCACTTTTGTGATATTGAAAGTGCAGGTCTTAACGAGCTGTACTTCAATGTTTTTATTGATTCCTGGATGGCTGTTAAGGATCTTGATCTGAGTACTTATTTAGTTAATGTTTTAGCCGCTGCATATTATATGGATTATGTTACACTAAAGACTGTTAGCAATAAGCTTCGTGTAAGTATTGGTCCTTCTAACCTGCATAACACTTACCCCAATGCCATTCTAAATGGTCTGGAGATAATGAAGATGAATAATTCAGTCAGCAGCCTCAGTGGGCTGGCCCCTGACATCACCAGTTCAAGCTCAAAGAAGAATGTTGGCGTGATAGTGGGAGTGATTGTTGGGGTGTTTATTTTGGTGGTGTTGGCTGGAGTTCTCTTTATGTGGTGCCGGAAAAGAAGCAGAATGGGACAGCAGGGACACTCAAAGACATGGATTCCTTTATATATCAATGGAGGAAATTCTCACACCATGGGAAGTAAATACTCTAATGGAACAACTGCTAGTGTTAATTCTAACCTGGGGTATCGCTTTCCTTTTGTGGCAGTTCAAGAAGCCACTAACAACTTCGATGAAAGTTGGGTTATTGGGATTGGTGGTTTTGGAAAGGTATACAAGGGAGTTCTAAATGATGGTACAAAAGTGGCGGTTAAGAGAGGAAATCCCCGGTCCCAACAGGGACTTGCAGAGTTCCAAACCGAGATTGAGATGCTTTCTCAGTTCCGGCACCGCCATCTGGTTTCACTGATTGGGTACTGCGATGAAAAGAATGAGATGATCTTGATTTACGAATACATGGAGAATGGGACCCTCAAGGGTCATCTCTATGGCTTAGGTCTTCCCAGCTTGAGTTGGAAGCAGAGACTTGAGGTGTGCATTGGATCTGCTAGAGGACTTCATTACCTTCACACAGGCTACGCGAAAGCAGTTATTCATCGTGATGTAAAGTCTGCGAATATCTTGCTTGATGAGAACCTCATGGCAAAAGTTGCTGATTTTGGTCTTTCAAAGACAGGACCTGAAATTGATCAAACCCATGTGAGTACTGCAGTGAAAGGAAGTTTTGGTTACCTTGATCCAGAATATTTCAGAAGGCAACAACTGACGGAGAAGTCTGATGTTTATTCATTTGGGGTGGTTTTGTTTGAAGTCCTATGTGCAAGACCTGTTATAGATCCAACCCTTCCAAGGGAAATGGTGAATTTAGCTGAATGGGCTATGAAATGGCAGAAGAAGGGGCAGCTGGAGCAAATCATAGATTCTACTCTTGCAGGAAAAATTAGACCAGATTCTCTTAGGAAGTTTGGAGAAACTGCTGAGAAATGCTTGGCTGACTTTGGTATTGACAGACCCTCAATGGGAGATGTCTTGTGGAATCTAGAATATGCTCTTCAACTTCAGGAGGCAGTTGTTCAAGGTGATCCTGAAGAAAACAGTACTAATTTGATCGGCGAGCTCTCCCCTCAGATTAACAATTTCAGCCAGGTTGATGCTAGTGTTTCTGCTGCACATTCTGATGTGTCAATTGCTGATGATCTCTCAGGAGTTTCAATGAGTAGGGTGTTTTCGCAGCTTGTTAAGTCTGAGGGCAGGTGATTTGTTGGAGATTGTATTCTCCATGGGTTTAGCTCCTCTCACAATTAGCCTCTTTGGTTTGTCCTCTGATCAACCGATACTTTCTACATCATAATAGATTGTTGTATTTTCTTTATTTTGTTTCATAGAGTGAGACTTTAGATTTGCTTCAATACCTTTGCATTTTTTGTTTTAATGACGGGAGGATATGATAATGTGGCTTGTTGATTGGTCACTGGACAAATGAAAGGAGGTTGTGGCCGTAGCTTATCATCCTTCAGATAGGTGTATAAGTCAAACAGTATGGATTGGGAAGTTGTGCGCGTTCTCATTTACAGCATTGTTGGTGGTTCTAGCAAGTTTTACAAAATGGATAAGGATTTTGTATCTTAGATTTGTCAATTAGCTTGTTTCCATTTCCATTAATTTATGCAGCATATCAACTACATTTAAAGTGCACTTTTTCTCCTGATGCAGTTCTTTGTGTGACTTATGCTTAATGCAGTTATTTTGTTTTTTTATTTGCTTGCCTACCAGTCAAATTTTGCTGTCTTCTTGAGTCTTGTAAGCCACTGTCTTAAGAGCAAAAGGATAAAGATGATTTTAAGCAAAGATGCTTGGTAACTCCTTCATAGTTGCAGTGTCTCTTGGTTTGAGTTGGTTTTCTATTCTAGCAAACAGAGGGCAGTGGCTCTTGGCCAAAAGGTTCAATTTGGGTTGCTTTTTGGTCTGTTAGAAGTGTCTCCGCCTGAGGGGAGAATTTCGGCTTTGTGCATTGCAAGTGTGAAGCAGATTCTGATTATGTTTGCAGGAGCATAGTAAATCAACTAGCAACTCTGCTAAATTTGTTTATTTTAATGGGCATCTTTTGTTTCAATTATATTCTGAGATTGCACTGGTTGGTTGATTGGAGATTCTTGCCAGTAAAATTGCACCTAGAGATAGTCAGGTGGAACAATTTAAGATTGAATTTTGAAAATGATATTCAGGCTTCAGTATAAGAGAAAGCTACCTATCACAAAAGGTATAAGGACTCGTGAATTTTTCTCATGCTTTCTGCAAACTATAACCGGCAGCATCTATACAAAGCCAGGGGCTGCTGCTTTCGGATAGTAAAAACATTTAAAAAAGAAGATCCAAACGAGATGCAACCTTCTGTAAAGTCTCTACTTTGCACCACTAAACCAACTGCTCTGTTTTCTGTGCGGACTTTTTGATTTCTATTCGGTTATTCCAGTAGCAAACCCTGCACGCATTGTTCAAAACCCGGCCTTGGCCTTTGAGTTTTTGGTAGGTTTTTTCTGGATATCGCATGAGATATAAAGATACATTCACCATTTTTGTCTCAACTTTCAGAACTCCATTTTTCCAACCATTATACAAGTAACAACTTCTACATATCTCTCAAAATCTTTACCAGTCTAATTGGAAGGTATCTGTCCTTATCAATTTAAAGTATAGCTTATCTTTATGTCTCAGTTTACACAAGTATTTAATGTTATCATATGGCATGCTTCTGACTTTACTATCCTAATTATCAGTTGCTTGCACTTGGCACTAATTAGGCTGCATTAACTGGTCGCCTAATCAAATATAAAATGCACATGAATTGCAGAAAAAGTTATTTTTACAGTCCATGAACCCAATGAAACTTGCTTTGTAAGTTCCACCCATTTATAAAGAAAGTACTGTTCTTATGCTATTGGCCCCATATGCCTTGTCCTTTGCCTCCTTTATAATTCTCCCCACTAGTGGTGGTGGCACTGGCACACTACTTAATCTGCTCATCCCTATCTGAAAATTATACACCTTTATTTTACAAAATCAGAGTTAAACTAATTAGACCATGCTATATATGTATTTAAAAACTGCACACTCTAATCATATTGATCATTCAAATAAGTAAAAGCAAATAATCTTTTAAAGGGTCCTATAACTAAATGACATTGAAGTAAAGGTAGTCAGGACCTCTTGTATCAATTAAGATTCAGTATCAACTGAGTAGTCTTCCATTTGATGAAATCCTTCAGGATCTTAGAACTATCGATCGGGTAAAAACTTTAATGGCTACCTCTATTAACACTCAATGAGAGACTCAAACTCAGGACCTCTTGAGTAATACACCAAAGAGTCTATATCAAATCACTCGATTACCCAGAAATAGTTAACCCTGATATTATTAATGTAGCAGAAGGTTCTAGGATCTCTATCTAATTTTCCCATGGACCCATCACCCAATTCCCCAAACGTATAAGCAAATTAATTATAACTGATAATTAAGGTTTATTATTGGTAATTCTAGAACAATTACTGATGCTGATATAGGAAAAAGCAAAAATAAAGAGTCTGAAATTTCAACATCAACACCAACCAAGGATAAAGAATTTTGTTTAGTTAATAAAACACCTGCATTAATATAGTACATAGCCATCTCCCTCCATTGATGACTTTCTCTGCTCAATATCCCCAGCAACAGAGCAAACAGAAAGTTGAGTAAACCACAAAATTAATAAAACTAGCAGAGTTCTTGTTATATATATTATTTGTCATGAAAACTCAATATCAACGATCAGCAACATCAACTTTAGCTGTGCAAGATAACAATCTACGAAATATAGACAACAAAGCTGCACATGATACCTCTTTAGCTCGCCTAAGCACCACACACTTCCTTTTAACAACGTATTTAGTACTGTACTTTTTCCCCTTTCTCGATCTCTTAATCAATCTTCTGTTATTCTTCATCTTCTCTTTAACTCCGCCAAAACACTTCTGGCTGATCTTTTCCGGGACAGTTAATTCTTCCTCCCTTGTAAACGTGTAGCTTCTCAGATACATTTGCCTGCATGAGATGCTATCAACAACTCTAGCATGCGCATGGCCTCCCCGGCGCTCGTAATTATCTCTCACCGACCTCACGAACGCCGCCTCCGATTCCGGCCACTTGTTGAGGCTGACGTAGGTAGGCCGGAGAGGTACCATGGTGTCATTTATGCAAGTTGACATGCAGGAGGCGGCCATTGCTAGAGATTCAATTATGGGGACTACGCAATGTTCTTCTTCTAATTTATAGGAATGAATGTAAATCAGAATTTATATGCTCAGGCGGTGTTAAATGTTAATGGAAGAAATAATATGAAATGATTTAGGGTGAAATAATTATATATAACCACTTTTTCTGCTGGTCCATGCATGCATTAATTTAGACTAATACACTTTATACAAAATGACACAAACATTTCGGGCCAGTTTGTTCATTGCACATTGAATCAAAATCTCATGCAAAACATCATTCAGTCCCGCTGGAAAAGCCCTTCTGTTCTTGATTTCAAAGATAGATGGCTGATTTGAAAGCTTTTCGTCAGTGAATATTCAACTTATTGCCTGAAAAGGACCACACTATTGTGAAGAAACTAAAAGTGTACACCAAACTGAGACAGGAATGCGGACTATGACCGGAGCCCAATGTCACAAGCACACGCACAGAGCCAAACATCAAGAATGAATCCACCGTTCGAGGTCATTAACTCATTTACCTAATATCAACTTTGTATACCACCATTTTGGAATAACAATCTTGACAGTATTAAAGGCTTATGTCTGGTTTTCTATCATTCTTTGCAAATTAATATAACGTTTGACGAATAGATAGAGAGGTCTTACAACAACACTCTTTAAGGAGTCCTATTGCTTCAATGATTTATTCCTACACATACGTTTCGTTCAAGAAAAAACAGTGACAAATTTCATATAGAATAGTGGTGAAAAACCCTAACGGCTCAATATAGAAGAAAGGACCACAAATGTACACAATATAAATAACATAAAAATTATCGAAAAAAGTCCACACTAAATCCATTTCAAAAGAGCTGCAAGCTATAACAGCAAACGTAATGATAGAACTACTTAATAATTAAGTCTCCATCGCAAATGTATATCCAAGTAAGCCAAAAGCAAAATAAAAATTTTAAAAACAGAAAATAATCTCGTACTGCTTTACTGGAATATGAAAAACCAAAAGAAACTAAATCTAAAACTTAACATCTCATTTCATCAACTCACAAAAATAAAACAAAAGTAAAACAATCTCTACTTCCCGTACTTCAGTAAGCTTTCATCAATAATTGCTAATCCAAATATAAATAATCAATTAATCTGCCACAATTTGCGCGAGCTTCTCAGCAACCAAATAAAGCTTTCAATGCTTAAAAGCAAACCTAATATAACAAATCAGTCTCACTCCAAAAATAAAAATAAAAAATAACAAAATAAAACACTAATTTACTTATCCGATTAATGACGAACAATAGTTGATGCATGTTTGAAAAAGAAAACGTGACAGAACGGGGAGATCGTAAAAAATAAAAAAATTTAAGTGAACTCAGATCGACTCCGGGCGAGTCGAAAATCAAGTAGGACTCAGCGATTGGAAGAAAGAGAGAGTGAGAGTACCTGCGAGGCAGATCGAATCTATTGTGTTAGGCTACGATTCAATAGCGAGTTTTGTAACGATTTTGTTATTGTTTTGTTTTTTCCGTGCCCTATCGAAAAAAAGGGAGAAAATAAGACCAGCGAGTCACGAAGCAAATAATGTTTTTTATGGCGATGATAAGTACGATAGATGAGTGGGTAATGTTAGGTGTGCAATGTGTCTTTGCGTGTCGGATGCGGCTTTTCTGACCATATGATACAGACTTTTTGGGACCCAAGGTCGTCTTTCTAGATTTCAAGGAAAAACAATAAAAGCATCGTGTTTATTTTATAATCTTGATATAAAACCTCAAAAATGTATTTTCCTAAGTACTGCCAATTATAAATGATGAAAACAAAAAGTGTTAAATTTAAGTGATCATAAGTGTCGGGCATATCCGGAGAACCGAAAAATACTAGTGAGGACTTACACCACAGATACTGCGTGGGCCTGTTGTGTGTAACCGCAAGTTTCGGCGGTCGAAATCTGACACTGCGTATGGTAGAGTGTTTTATTATTTTACCAAAATTTTATATATTGTGGTAGTTAATTAAATTTTTACACTTAAGGGTTTTTTCTAAAAATTTTTCCATTTATTAAAGCACTAAACTCTCAAACTTTCAAAGGCTATTTCGTTTTTTTCTAGTTACCAAACAAAACATCATAACAACACATGCAAGGTAAGCCTTTATTTTAAACCTTTTGAGTATCATTTACGTTATTCATACAAACGTTAGGTATGTTAGTCGTGGGCTTATTATAAAAGTTTAAAGTTATAGACACAGCGATGAATTACTAACTCGAAAAAAGAAAACACAGGTCATATGTAGTCTTCTCATTGTACTTATTTTCTTTTATATGGTGTGACTCCTAAGGTATATATTTATTGAAAAATTATAACGAATAAATGATTAAG